AGCAGATATAGGTGGAGAGTGCAGACATTTGTGGACAGATAAAGGTGGAGAGTGCAGACATTTGCCTAGCAGATATAGGTGGAGAGTGCAGACATTTGCGAGCAGATATAAATGAAGAGTGCTGACATTTCCCAGTAGATAAAGGTGGAGAGAACATTTCTCCTACTGCAATGGCTGTAACTAATGTCATTCATAAAACATGTGGTATACAGTATGTATCCTGCCCACACAGTTGGCCCAAATCCACACTCTGCATCCTGAAAACGAGCACCATGTGAAGAGAATGGACATGTGTTTGACAGGCATGCACACTTATCAACAGTTACACATTAGGGAGAAAAGAGCACTGCAATAACAAGACTAGAGGACAGCAAAGAGAAATATCATGGAGAAAACCCAGAAACAGGGCTACAATAAGAGCAGGTGTAAACAGAGCCTGGGCCAGCCAGGGTCAGTCAAGGTCAGCCAAGGTCAAACAGGGTCAGCTAGGGTCAACCAGGGTCGGTCAGGGCCAGCCAGGGTCGGTCAAGGTCAGCAAAGGTCAAACAGGGTCAGCTAGGGTTGGTCAGGGTCAGTCAGGGACAGCCAGGGTCGGTCAAGATCAGCCAAGGTCAAACAGGGTCAGCTAGGATCGGTCAGGGTCAGTCAGGGACAGCCAGGGTCGGTCAAGGTCAGCCAAGGTCAAACAGGGTCAGCTAGGGTCAACCAGGGTCAGTCAGGGCCAGCCAGGTTCGGTCAAGGTCAGCCAAGGTCAAATAGGGTCAGCTAGGGTTGGTCAGGGTCAGTCAGGGACAGCCAGGGTCGGTCAAGGTCAGCCAAGGTCAAACAGGGTCAGCTAGGATCGGTCAGGGTCAGTCAGGGACAGCCAGGGTCGGTTAAGGTCAGTCAGGGTCAGCTAGGGTCAGTCAGGGTCGATCAAGGTCAGCCAAGGTCAAACAGGGTCAGCTAGGGTCAGTCAGAGCTTCCAAACCATGTGTGACAGTTACAAAATACAACAACAGAGCATCAGCCTTGCTGTGTGATCCATCTTCCAATCTGGCTTAAACTGCTAAGTAAAGAGCCACTTACACCAGACCCAGGGCACATGAATGCATGAGACTGCGAGTGCTGAGCCAACGCCAACCTGAATGTCAGACCGTAAGTGCAGCCGTCAGATTCCAAGCCAAAGTCAACCCTAAGACATGAGTCCACGGTTCCAGAGTTAAAGCCGACCCGACCACAGAGCCACTGTCAACCTGAATGTGTCAGACCACGACTGCATAGCCAAAGCCGGTCTGAATGCATGAGCCTGTGACTGCAGAGCCAAAGCCAATCTGAACGCATGAGATCACGACTGCAGAGCAAACGCTCACCTGAACGCGTCAGATTACGACTGCAGAGCCAAGGCTGACCTGAATGCATTAGACCACAAATGCAGCAGTCAGATTCCGAGCCAAAGCCGACCCGAACAGCCCCAGATCACTCAACACACAGATGGTGCTTCTTCATCTGAATGAATATGCATTGGATATGATGATGATTTCACAATGACATAGATTAACTTGCAAATGACAACAGCATGGAAACAACAGCAAAGACACAGCATATCTAATGTTATATTAAGACCAGCAACCGCTTTTCAGAGTCAATGTATTATTATATACATACAGAAACACCAACATTATGCAAGAGAAACCTACTTCTCTCCTGTGGGGTCTTTGTTAGGGATAGGTAGGAAAAAAAACCTCTGGAGGTCAAAGGTCAAGCATCTTTCTACCCATGCCTTTATTAGGTTCCCCGTGTACTAGTGCTGGGTGGTGTGACCAAAAATTTATACCGTAGTGTTCCTAAGATCCTGGCAGTCTTTTTTATGCATGACTGTGCCTTTGTAACTGGATGTAGCGGCTTATTCTACTTTCAGGAGTACATAGAGTATAAAAACATTCTAACTTCATCATGTATATTACAAAGGCTTTGACTACTATAGGGTTCGCTTGACCCTGTCACATGAAATCACTTCCACCATAGAAATTCCTTCCCCGTGACGTGTCACTCAGCTCTTTGGCAGATGATGCAATCATGACGAAGCCATCATAAGTTTCAAGTTCACCTTTACTGTGGCAGCAAAACACTTTTACGACGGTTTGAAAAAAGTGTGTTTTTCTTAATTATTATTTCAAAAATCATCTACCTTTAACATGATAGTATAACTGACGTTTTATTATGGTTTAACTGATGTTTTATTAGGTGAATAATGTACATTTAGCTCAATAGCGATGTGTTTTATCGATTCAAACCATACATTTAGCTCAATAAGAACTGTTTCACTAACGTCTTATTAGACTAATAATGAATATTGGGATCCCTGCCTTGTCAGTCATTTCCCCTTTTGGCCAGCAGGTGTTGCTAGTCATCCCATTACCCCTGCGTTTCCTTATGATTCAGCACCCTTCCCTGTTATAAGTGTGTTCCCTTGCTCAAAACTGAGATGCAAGCATCCCTTTCATCATGGGTTTAACCATGCCAACCAAATTATGGTTCACTGTCTAGCTTAGCACCTTAAGTCCTTTTCCTGCTCCTCTGATTCTGCTTGAATCCCTGATCTCATGCTCACTAACTAGAGCGCCTGTGTACCTCACAACCAGCAGACATGATCCCATCAGCACTGAGTACTCCGAGTACTCAGAGGAAAGGTGTAACAGGCAGGCACAAGGCCCCTCATGGCGTCTCCCATCAGCACTGAGTACTCCGAGTACTCAGAGGAAAGGTGTAACAGGCAGGGACAGGGCCCCTCATGGTGTCTCCCATCAGCACTGAGTACTTCGAGTACTCAGAGGAAAGGTGTAACAGGCAGGCACAAGGCCCCTCATGGTGTCTCCCATCAGCACTGAGTACTCCGAGTACTCAGAGGAAAGGTGTAACAGGCAGGCACAAGGCCCCTCATGGTGTCTCCCATCAGCGGCCCTGGTCTCGTCTGCACTGGGCACTGGGAACACTCAGAGGAAAGGTGTGGCATGCAGGAAGAAGGCCCTTCATGACATCTCCCGTCAGAGGTCCTAGTGCATTCAACAGCGAGTACCAAGATGAAGGGTGTGATAAGTATGCAGCTCCGACTGATGTCCAAGTATCATGTGTTGGAATTATATTGATAAAAAGTTCTATTTTTACACTTTTGTCCCATGGCCATGCCAACAGTACATTAAGGAATATCTCTGTGGGGTGTAATTGGGAGCAGTGAAAATGGCAGTGAATTCAGCTTATTAAGTCAACTTACAATATAACATTAAATGACTGGTAATGAAGACAATCACCAATTACTAATCATTGGTGCGCAGTTAGGCAGCTAAAAATCCTTTTATACAGTATATTGCTTTAAGTATTGGGATGCATCGCCAAATAACTGAATCCAGGTGTTCCTTCCATAGCCACATGGATTATACAATCAAGCACTTAGGCATGCAGACTGCTTCTCAGTGAATTATCAGTGAATTAAAGCGTGGTACCGTGATAGGATGCCACCTGTGCAATAAGTACATTCGTGAAATTTCCTCGCTACTAAATATTCCACGGTCAACTGTTAGTGATATTATAACAAAGTGGAAGCAATTGGGAACAACAGCAACGCAGCCACGAAGTGGTAGGTCACGTAAAATCAGAGAGGGGGGACAACGCATGCTGAGGCGCACAGTGTTCAGAAGTCGCCAACTGTCTGCATAGTCAATAGCTACAGACCTCCAAACTTCATGTGGCCTTCAGATTAGCTCAAGAACAGTGTGTCGAGAACTTCATGGAATGAGTTTCCATGGCTAAGCAGCTGCATCCAAGCCTTACATCACGAAGTGCACTGCAAAGCGTCATATGCAGTGGTGTAAAGCGCGCCACTCCAGAGCAGTGGACACGTGTTCCCTAGAGAGACGAATCATGCTTTTCTGCCTGGTAATCCGATGGATGAGTCTGGGTTTGGTGGATGCCAGGACTACTCCATATTAAAGCCTATGTATTAAAAATGGGATGTCATTAAAGTTCATGTGTGTGTAAAGGCAGGTGTCCCAGTACTTTTGGCAATATAGTGTATGTAATTTTACTTGTCTTCCTGCTCACTGAGGCTCCATTCTATATCTCCACATTGTTTCTAGTTTGGATGTTGTTCAAATTGCTACAAAGTCTGAGATAATCAGGCTGAATCTCAGAAAGTCAAGGTGATCCTCAACCCTGCCAGCTTCTCCCAGACAGCTCCCATCGTCTGGACTCCTGAATCTCAGAAAGTCAAGGTGATCCTCAACCCTGCCAGCTTCACCCACACAGCTCCTGTCCGCTGGACTCCTGACTACTCAGGAAGTCAAGGTGTTCCTCAACCCTGCCCGCTTCACCCACACAGCTCCCATCTCCTGGACTCCCGACTCTCGGGAAGTGGAGGTGATCCTCAGCCAGCTTCTCCCACACAGCTCCCATCGTCTGGACTCCTGACTCACTCAAAATGTCCTTTCCTCTTCGTGACGGACGGATGGAGGCATGGACAGAAGCACAAGCTGCCACGGCATATGGCACGATGCTGGGGGTCAGTCACACTCAGCCTGACGTAACTCCGGATGGAGGACCAAGGGAACAGTGCAGGAGCAGCCGGCACACAGCAGGGCCCAGCATTCACTCCCTGGGGGGGTCTGATGTCAGCACGGCAAGGAGACTGACAGGGTCTCACATACAAGCAGACCCAGGATTACACAGGTGTTCAGGTGGACACCGGACTTAACACGTAGTAATGCTATGGCAGTCTGCTGTTGTATCAGAAAGGGCAGCTTCCATCAGCGACGAGCCGGCTTGGGCTGAAAGCGAAACCATACAGCCTTCACCAACAGTGTGAACACAGCATCTGCTAACCAAAGCCGGCTCGCGAGCATCTGCTCCACGTTGGCACCGATCGCGCTTAGAGACGGCAGTATTTCTGCTGTAAAACTGGGGTGAAGACTTTGCATGTAAAAAGGCACATTCAGATGGCGGAAGCTGAGTCGCAGAGAGAGAAGACGGCCTGTCTCACCACCCTGATAGCGCCAATATCCTCACCAGAAAATAAACCTAAAGCCAGGAAGGGAAACCCCAAGCAAAAACTGATGGCTGACAGGTGACATTTGTCGTAAAGATGACTAAAGTCTTCATTAGACGAGGCTCCACACTGCACACTGGCCGACCTCCCTGCCCCCCCCCCGCCAGTTGTCTGGTTATCAACTCACACTCACAACAACCATCCACCCATTTTCCTTAAGCACTGATATAATGCAGGGTAGCAGAGTCTGGAACCTCTCCCAGAAAGCTCATAGCACTGGGCAGGGTGGGTATGCAGATGCAACCTCACACCCTCACACACACACACACACACACACACACGTGCAACAGCAGGGAAAAACCAGAGAGCCGACAAAGACTGAGAGCTACTGTTAATAATTATATTTCAACTACCATTACTACTGTTACTACGAATAATAATAATAATAATACCACAACCATCACTATGATTATGGATCATAATAATAATGATAACAGTAACAACAATAATGATGATGCAGCATTCTGTTCAGGTGCTGGTCTATGTTCTCCTCATGACCCTGACCAGGATACATGGATAGTGGATGATAGCAGATGGATGCAGAGTAACAGACAGGCGATATCTAGCAGCAGACCTTTAAGAGCAACAACAACACCAATAATAATGACGATGATGAGGACAGCAGATGGATGAATGGTGATGGACAGGCAGTATCTGAAGTGTGACTGACAGATAGGAGCCCGCCCTTACAGGAGCTACTGGCCTCTGTCTCTCTGCTAAATGTCCCCTCTGTCTACTCTAAACGGATATTTAATTGCTACTGCAACCTCTGGTTGGGCTACGGAAAAACCAGAGGGCAGGCAGGGGCAGCACCCAACACGCCGGGGCAGGAAGGGGCAGCACCCAACACGCCGGGGCAGGAAGGGGCAGCACCCAACACGCCGGGGCAAGAAGGGGCAGCACCCAACACACCGGGGCAGGAAGGGGCAGCACCTAACACACCAGGGCAGAAAGGGGCAGCACCCAAAACGCCGGGGCAGGAAGGGGCAGCACCCAACACGCCGGGGCAGGAAGGGGCAGCACCCAACACGCCGGGGCAGGAAGGAGCAGCACCCAACACGCCGGGGCAGGAAGGGGCAGCACCCAACACGCCAGGGCAGGAAGGGGCAGCACCCAGCACTCCAGGGCAAGAAGGGGCAGCACCCAGCACGCCGGGGCATTCAGCATGATACTGTGAGTAAAGTACATTGCCTAAAGATGCACATCCTTGTGGGACATCCTCTCACCTGAGTGACCAGAGGCTCCAGCAGCCGCTCCACGGTCAGGGTGCGAATTTCCAGGTTCTTGGGGTCCCACTTCATGAGAATGGGGGATGTAGCTGTAGTCATGATTCCTGCAATGGAGGAGGAAAGATCAGAAGGTTTGCCAGAGCTGTGATTTCAGACGAAAAGAAGCAAAATTCTGAAATCTTTTCACATGAACAAATACGGTTCAGGGGTCTATATATAAAGGAAACATGAATCTCCGGTGCCTGACCAACCAGTTGAGTATTCTGTGAATGTGACTCTTTATAGTCAACTGGTTGGTAGAAACAAAATCTTGGCCAGGATTTCTAACTTTCTGGACCTGAGCTCAACGGACAGTTTTAGATGTAGATGCTGATGACGGTAGACATTTCAGTCGTCCACCAACCACCAAAACAAAAATATATTCTGCCATTTAAAAAAAAACAAAGGTATTGATAACTCTCCAATAAATGTCACGTGAGGCTTGCTGCGGTTGGGAATCCAGGGACGGGAGTAACAAAGTCTTGCTGGTTCAGACTGGTACCCAGCTTTTTATCTTTCAATTACCGCAACAAACAATGTTACAAAGCTGAGTTTAGTTTAAGCTGATTTTTTTTTTTCACAAAGTGACAGATAAAGTACATTAACACTCATGCAATCGTGCCAGTTACTGATACCCGAACCTTCCCCATTGCTGCTTACAGTATATCCACATCACATCAGCAAATTGTGCAGAAGGCGTGAAATTCGCCATTCCTCCTCTTCGAGATGAGCATGTGTTCTTTGAATTGTAAGAGGTTTTTTGTTTATGCATTTTGAATGAAAGCATCCACTGCACATAAAATCATTCGAGTGGGGGGTTCAGCCATTAATGTAATGCGACGAGTCTTGAGGCCATATACTGTTAACGCATGACCATTTATTTGCCAGGTGCACCACCGAGTCAATGACAGGTCTTCTACCACGGTATGGCGCCTTATAGAGCCGCCAAACTGGATAATGCCTCGGTGATCCGGGGACCGAAAGTGTTCCTTCATTTTCGTTGGTGGAAGAGCAACTGGAATATTTTTTCAGGGGAAGCTTTGTTATTAGCAATTAAAATCAGCAGGGTGTGAAATTAATTCTTTATTTTGTAAATAGCCGTACGTTATCCTTCATAAATTCCATCGATAGTGAAAAGCAGTTGTGGGCAGTGGTGGCTTGATGGTTAGGGAAGCGCACTTGTAATTGAAAGATTGCTGGTTCGAATCCCCGACCAGCAAGGTACCGCCCCCAAGCACTGCTCTCTGGGCGCTGAATTAGCTGCCCCCTGCTATGTCACGATGTTACATACGGGTTAAATGCAGAGGACAGATTTTGTTGTTGCGCACCATGTGCTGTGGTGTGTTAACACTGATCACCAAATTCTATTCAGTACAAATAAGTGTCTGCCCAGATCTTACACCAGTCAGGGCATATCAAGTTGAAAAATCAGTAAATTTAGAACATTTCTCAGTTCTCAAGGGCATTTCCTTTTCTTTGATTTTGTTTCGCATGATGTTGATACGATAATGATACGCGGGTCTCAGAGCACTGTGGGATTATGACAGTCAGATCATACCATAAACTGGGAGGCATGGGGGCATGCTGCATGCGCATTTTGGACTAAACCATCTGTTTTTTTTGCCATTTGATTATTTAAAGGTCTACTATGAATGGCAATCTACGGAGGCCCCCTGAAGGGATCTGAGCAAAAAATGTAAATGATGTTACTTTAACATGCGCAAATAAAAGAAAGAGCATTTTATTTTTTTGCACAGGTCCCTTTAGGGGCTCCGTAGCAATCTGCATCGAACATCAAAGCAGCATCTTTTCTTGAATTACTTGTCATGGCAAAAACAAAGATCATAACAAGCAAGCTGGGCCCGCCCGCACAGACAGACAGACAGACAGACAGACAGACAGACAGACACAGACAGAGACAGAGACAGAGACAGAGACAGAGAGAGAGAGAGAGAGAGAGAGACAGACAGCGAGCGAGCGAGTGGCTCAGTGGGCTAAGCCTGTGTGCCTATAATCAGAAGGTCGCTGGCTCAATCCCAGCATCAGCTTCTCTGCAGGTCCTTCAGCAAGCCCCAAAAGACCAAGTTCAGGAAGGCATACAAAAGTCAATTCCCCATGGGGATCAATAAAGCATCAATTATTATAATATACATAGATGGATAGATAAAATGACATATTTAACATACAGTAAACAATCTTTCAAAGTATTTTGTTTCCGTCTAGCAAAATACAAATCACAAAATACTCCTACACCTCATTCCAAAGCTGACAGTGATGCATAATATAGTCGGGTCTACAGAGAAAGACATTGACGGGTCTTCAATAAGGCAGCATAAACCTTGTTAAGGAGGTTTGTCTTGTAAAACCGCACGGCTGTGGAGGGAAAGACTATGGTGTTATATGAGCCTCATTACTGAGCACACAGTGGAACTTTCACAAGCAACATCTCCACTTAGTGCAAAGTCAACCCGGCCTGCACGCTCGCTCACTCCGCTTAGTGGACACTCAACTCGGCCTGCACGCTCGCTCACTCCGCTTAGTGCGCGCTCAACCCGGCCTGCACGCTCGCTCACTCCGCTTAGTGGACACTCAACCTGCCCTGCACGCTCGCTCACTCCGCTTAGTGGACACTCAACCCGGCCTGCACGCTCGCTCACTCCATTCAGTGCTCACTCACTCAGCTCTGTGCACGCTCAACCCGGTCCGCACGCTCGCTCACTACGCTGTGTGCACTCAACTCGGCCTGCATGCTCGCTCAATTCCCTCTGTGTGCGCTCAACTTGGCTTGCACGCTTGCTCAATTCGCTCTCAGCACTCAACTTGGCCTGCACGATCTTGGTACACCAATACTTTTGTGTCACAGTTATTCACCAATCCTTGCACTTCTTGACAAGTTGGTTCAGAATGGGGAATACTATTGTTACAATACCCAAATACACAGTCAAAACTTTCAAAAAGAAGCTTGATGTAATAGTAGTAAAAAATAACTCACCGGCGGTGTCGATATTTTAAGGACTAGATATCAAAGTTGAACACACACAGAGCGCAGATATTGGTTCCTGAAGTCCCAGTGTGCGTTCAGGAATGAGGCACAAATAAAACGTCATGAAGAACCAGCCGGCACGCAGCGGAGCGTACAGTGCATGGCTCGGAGTGCATTAACCCATATACCACGGTTACCGAGACAGTATTTTCACATTTACAAGTTGAAAACTCATTTATTGGTAGAACTACTTCATTCTACCAGTGATTAGACATTTCTGTTTAGTTTTGGTTAATTTTAAATTGTGTACTACATCTGGAATTCTGAGTAACATATTACAATTGAAGTTTATAATTGTGCATTGATTTGCTACTGCAGTTCGCCGGGCAGAGGCACTACGCATGTGATTATATAAAATTAATCAACAGCTCTCCACAGCACCTCTCAGAGGCAGTGGACAGGACCTCGACTTTCAGAGATGGGTGATACAGTTATTGCAGCTGGACCCGACATGGCTGGGCTACATTACCATTGAAGTCGATGTCTTGGTTAGCATTTCTCATCCTATGAGGACTTATATGTGACGGCAGAGAAATAAGGGTATAAATAGGATGTTTCTCTTTGAAGATGAAAAATACATGCAGGTGGTGTTTCAGTGGGAGAACTCCTGCCTTTCTAAACACAACCTGAAGACCTAAAAAAAAAAAGAAACAACGTATTCAAAATGTAACTCTTACAGCTATAATAATTAATGGCGGTTACCGCTAATAATCAATTGTAACAAGCTGAATTTTTGAGAATCATCTGTGTCTGTTGAGCACAGTGTCAGACTTCAGCAGTTATCACTGTCGGTCTTAGTGCATTTGAAGCTCTCCTCTGTAATAAAGTCACTAGCTTTAAGTGAACTGCCAGGTGCATCTCTACTTCTACCTGAGTCCTGTTACCAGGTGCTTCAATGTGACAACATCAGGTCGCCTTGGCAAAGCTGACACAGAAGCTCCGCTGATGTCAGGATGGAGAGTCGGCGCACGACGTAAAGGTGTGAGCAGCTTTGCAGCAGCTGGACTACAGACAGCCAGATCATGACAATCAGACGTTCTGCCAGCTCATTTCGCAATGAGGAGACCATCATCATCAAGACACAGCTAACTGCACTGATCTGGGGATCATCACACATTTCAGAGGTCAGTGTTGCCTTAATGTTTCTTCATAGATGGATAAATCTGATATCTACAGTTACAGTGAGTTTCCTAGTGCAATATAACAACCTTCTAGCTTGAGTCTAAATTTAATTTGTCCGACTGATGGTACTTCCATTACTTAAACCCACTTTCTATATTAGATTTAAAATCATGTGCATGCAATATTAAAGAAACTTAATGGCTAAGCCCTATCGCATCTCACATGCGTTATGTTTTGTTTATTCCACAGCCAAACTTTCCTTATACATTGATAAAGTCATATTTATCTTGATTTCCCACTCTTCCTGAAGTCATACTTGTGTTCCATGTCTCATCACTTCTTTAACCAAATGAAAATGCATTAAAGGTGTCTCACAAACATGAGGTTCCAGTTCACAAAGTATCAGTAGTTGCCAAGGAGTTGAGGGGTCAAGGGCTTTACTACATAGGCTGTCCATCCCCATAAGACCATGAAAACCACAGAAATATTAAGAAATATTAGTTAGAGAAGGTCAAAGGTCTCAACCTTGTATAGGAGCAGGGTGACACAGAGAGGCATTACCGGAGGTCAGTGGGTACACTCCCCCCAGCCAGGATCAGGACCATTCCATGGGCTGATGGGTGTCTGTCAGGTGCCTGTCCCACTTCTAATCAAACCCCCACTGTAGCGGCAGTATTTCTGTTTCTGAAACGTCAGCAGCGCCCTCTGGGGACGCTTACTAAAGCATCATTTAGCTTCAAAACATTCTGGCCTGACGTATGTTCTCAGGAACGAAACGATATTATGCACATAGTTACATATAACATCTAAAGAACTGAAAGAGTGCTGCTGTATCTAATACAACGTCCGCTTCTGCTCAGGTGTTTTTTCCAGTTTATCTGTTTCCTTGAGTTGCTTATCTGATAATTGAATCTAAACGTATTTACATCTACTGTATATATTTATATGTTATCATCTTATGCTGCACTCAAAGGTCTGATAACACCCTTGAGCTGATACCCATCCGATTTATATGACATTCAACCACTCAGGTATCCGGCAGCATCCAGCTACATGATGCCATGTGAAATAAAATATGTATTAGTTTGCTTATTTGAAACTTTCTTAACCTGTATGAAAAACTGTGTTTTCTCCTACTACCCCACTGCTATGAGGAAGGTTTAAGGTGGACAGTGATGATATTGCTGACGATGATGCAGATGATAATGATGATGATGACAATTATGCTGCTGATGATGACTATGCTGATGAAGATGATGATTGTGATGCTATTGATGATGATGATAGTGCTGATGATTATGATGCTGCTGCTGCTGATGATGATGATGATGCTGAGGCTGATAATGATGATGATGCTGATGATGATGATGATGCTGAGGCTGATAATGATGATGATGCTGATGATGATGATGATGCTGATGAAGCTGATGCTGCTGATGATGACGATGGTGATAACAGAGAGTGGCTGTGCAGCAATGGCTGGACATTCATCTTTAGCGGGTATGCTGCGACTGGCAGTCCAAATGACGGTGAATATTCAATCTGAAGTGGTCAAATCAGCTCAAGCTTCTGAAATTTTAAGGCAGACCACTTCAAAGAATATGTGCATTCAAGAGATATACCAGGAAAAGAAGGAGCATGGGACAGAGCTTCGGATGAGGTACAAACTCCTCAAATGTTAACAGCAAACTGTTTCACTGTTACTGTGCCAAGTAAGGCAGATAATCAGGGAGAAAGGGTTAAACTAAAGGAGTTCCTGCTTATATGCAAAGGGACTTTATACTGCCTATTATGCTTGTTCAGTGTAAACTTAATTTGCATTTAGTACAATAAAAAGTTTATCATTCCAGCAATTTCATTATAATTTACTATGGTACTTGGTGCAATAACAGCACAAAATCTGCTATGGCCTCCGATGAAGTCAGATTCATTTTTTTCTTACATTTCTCTCATATATTATTTACACATATTGTTCGTATCATTTTTCATGATCTTCAGGGGAGACCTCTTGCAATGTAGCACCTTTTAGACACACTAAAACCCATGCTGTGTGATGTGAGATCTGCTACATCTCAGCCAGCATTTACCGCCAACTGACCCCAGCCACCAGGTCTTACCCTGACCCTGACGTCTGCATTTCCTTAATTAAAAATATGTTCATCCTGATGGCACAGGATAACAAACAGTCAACTGCCTGGATAGCAAAGGACTGCAGGAGACAGAAAGGCTGCACTTCTGCCATGCCAAGCCTTTGGCTTCCTTCAAAGGAGACCAGGAGGCACCAGAAACCTGCGCATATGTGTCCCTTGAAGGTCCAGCCAAACCCCTGCATTTTTTGATGCTGTGTTTTTCCTAAGCACAGATAAAAACCTGTGCAGGGATGTCTGCTGTTCCAGCAGCAACGACTGTCTATTTTGTGCGAGGTGAAATGTGGCATTCAGCGTGGACCACAATAATGAAAACAGTGGTAAACTAATTAGCCAAGTTTGCCACCCTGAAAGACACAACATAAAAGCACCTAAAATGGTCCACGTGGAAGATTCTGGAAGGTTTTCACATATAAAACCCCCTTTTCTGGGATTTGAAAACCCTGTAGAATGTTACACTATTCTCTGAAGAACACAGTGCCTTTCTGCTCATCTAAACTGGTCGGTATACTTATGTAAATAGTGCTTCCTAAGGACCCATCAATCTGAAAAGCTAAAAATGCTTTAAACATACAGACTCTTTCCTAAGTTACTGCCCACATCTCTCAGCTACTGTCAGTGACTGAAAGGCAGCTTTGTTAAATGACTAATGCCACAAATACTTAATAACAGCTGCTATTCCCTGTATTTAAGGCCACACGTCTTTCTGAGCGTAGTGTTCAAACAGAACGGCACGGTAATGTTCAGTTACAGGTGAAATCAGACCTGGTGTTGGCTGATCTCATTTATCACTCAGGCTGAACCTAAGCAACCATTATACAGTATCTTCCAATTCTGTTATAGCCCTGATCATGAATCTATAACAATTATAAAAACAATAACTGTTTTATAAATTCTATAAAAGCACAGAAAAACATAATTTACATTACTCCATTTTGTCTCTGGACACAGCATGGGTCAGGATTACTTGACATTAAAATGTCATTACTTTAATAAAATTCACCAAATGTTCTTTTGCCATTTATATAGCATTTCTGAACGATGGGTTTACAGGGAGATGGAAGAACACATCTTACAGCGGAACAGAGAGCGGAAGCTTTGCTGTGTGCCCACCCTTTTAAATGTGTCTAATTTTAACAGATCCACGTCCTCTATTCATGCCCTAATTGCATTTGTATGTGTACTCTGACCACATGTAGCAAGCAATAAAATACATGACAAATATTATATTATCATCTAATTAAACATCCAACATCAAGACCACTAGCCCAACTTCGAGTGGCAGGGAGACTTTTTTTTTTTTTATTTGTAAGCACTTAATTGTCTTGCATGGTATATTGCATAAGGATTCCTAAGGCTGGTGCGGTGATAGAAGCCACTGCAGGATCGTCACTGTGATTTTCCAGTCTCACAGACACATAGGGCCACATAAAGGCTATGGAGACCCGACTCCGTGTATCCAAGCAGCCAGAAACATACAGCATAAAGCAAGCAAAAGCTAACGCCTTTTCCAAAGGGAATTGCCCAAGAAGTCTAAGAAAAATCCAGCGATCCGACTGACAGAAACAGTATGCAAAATAATTTAAGGACAACAGGTTTAAAAGTTCATTATACAAAGTATGTGCAAAATCTGCAAGATTACAACTTCATGAACAAAATTAAAGAGAAGCTCTCATCGTGGATCCAGAGTGAGACGGGGGAGGGACAGGTTAACCCCGCACAGCCATAAAGTTATTCCATAACCCTGCTTTGAATAAAAAGATTAATAGAGACTATGTTATTTTAAGGGGGCTTGTTCTGTACTTAGCCAAACAATTAAACATATAAATGTATAACAAATTTTAGAATAGCCGCTTGTATATTTACTGATACTTGGTCGTTGTAATGACTGATGCCGGTTACTTTTTTCACCTGCCACGGAAGCTTAATATTTAAAATATTAAACCTGCATGATAGATTCACGCTTTAGGGACAGACCAGCTACTGCATTCAGAAGAAAGTGCCGTAAAGAGTGAAAATTCCACATCCATCCTATCATTCGTGTGCGGCTTGTAAGGCTCCTTATCCCTTTATGTTCACCTTAATTTTAACCTGTCACTAATAACGCAGTGAGAATACACTTCTGTGGAAATAAAAAGGGTTATCGGCCACTCTAGTGCTCACAGTGAAACGGCGCTGGACGCAGTCAGAGAGAATCTGCATGGCGAAGTGCGAGAGATGCCAGACAGGCAGAGGGAGCGAGGGACGCGGAGCCCAGTTCAGCAGGTCTGAAAGTGCCAGTCCGCACGGGACGGCGTGGTTGCACGAGGCACGAGGCACCAACGCACGGCACGGGCTGGCACGGGGCAGCGTCGCGCGGGATGCACGGCATTGAGCGGCACGGGGCAGCATCGCGGGGCACGGCACGGGGCACCGTAGCACCTTACGGCACGAAGCAGCATCGTACTGGACGGCACGGCACCGCACTGGGGATAAGGGAGGCGCTCGCAGGTGCTACGCAAGCAGGCGCACAAAGAATTAGAGCGAGCAAAGCCTTTTATGAGGCTGCATGCATTAACCTTCTTCGGCGGCTAAAGGGTGCACCGTGCATGCTGCGTCTGCCCGCTTCTCGCATGTCCGGGCCGCCTGTAGTATATCTGCAAACGGCAGCCACATAAATACAATGATAAATGCAGAAATAAAGAAGCCTAAACAGAGACCCACACGCTGTTAGAGGGGATGCTGAGCCCCACGCTCTTACGAACCGGCCGCCTGTAGTATATCAGCAAACTAAGAGCAGATAAATACAGCGATAAATGCAAAAATAAAACAGCCTAAACAGAGACCCGCATACACTGTCAGAGAGGATGCTCAGCTGCACACTCTTACTGACCGGTCGCCTAGCTGGTTTAAATGGCTGTCTTCTTCTTCTGCCTTCTCCTCTCTTCCGTTTTTTCCGTTTTGTGTAGTAATGTCAGCACTCCCCCTCAGAGCCTCAAAAGCCCTTCGCTACTCCGCCGAGCCCTGCCAAAAGTCTCCCGCAGCATCCAAAGCGCAATGAGCCGGCTGTGAAATGGGGGCTCCGAAGCAGCGCTGTGCTGGGTGGGACCAAAGATGGTGATCGCTGTCAGATCCCGGCTCCGGGCCGGCCTTCGCATGCGCAGTTGCGCGCTCGGACCCCCGCCCTCCCACCGGCTGACGGATAATGAGCCCGGAGAGCAGCGTCCTGAAGCCCAGGAGGTTAAGAGCTTCAGATGCAGATGGAGACCAGTGCATTTGATGTGCAGGGAAAACCTTCGCATAGCCGCACTGTAACTGGACATGCGCAGGTCTGGCGAAAGGGTAACAGTTAAATAACAATGTAATTATTTAAGGACTAATGAGCGCTTGCTGTCCGTCAAAGAAATTATACACATTTAGCTGTTTACAAAATGCATAGATTCATAATAATTTTATTCAATCTACCCACATAGTTAACTATTGTAAAATACAATATATTACGATATATATGCAATATGTGTAATGTCAAATACTAGCCACAGTTAAAACGCCAATAGCGTTATTAGAATGATATAGGAGTTGATATTGGGACAAATTTGACTTTCTCTCCCACTTTAAAAATATGATATTATTATAAATATTAAAACATAAAAGTATTATTGAAAGCTCAAGAACTGAGTTTAAGTCAACAGACCACAGAATCATAAAGGTATATAGTATTGTGACGCTTGACTGACAGAGGCATTGTGGCGAGAAGAGAAAAAGTTGCTCTTTAGTGTACAGTCCTTAACAGGACCGTGCATCTATAAACAACAATACACAGAAGCAAACATGTCAAACGCAGAGAGGTTACACACTAGACGAGAAAGCTGACACACGGTCGGGTGACCGTCAGGATTACACATATGACACTGGTAATGGTACATACGACAGTCGGGAGCACAAGTAATAACACAAACAAATACCTGTGAGGGCTATTTACAGGATATACATAGGGCCTATTTACAGGACACATACAGGGCTACATTATATACAGGACACACACAGGGCTATATACAGGACACACACAGGGCTATATACAGGACACACACAGGGCTATGTACAGGACTTACACAGGGCTATGTATATGACTTACACAGGGCTATATACAGGACACACACAGGGCTACAGTATATACAGGACACACACGGGGCTATATACAGGACACACACAGGGCTACAGTATATACAGGACACACACGGGGCTATATACAGGACACACACAGGGCTATTTACAGGACACACACGGGGCTATATACAGGACA